AAAAAACACATTTGTCATCTATATTAATTTTAAATCGTTGGGTAACAAGAGTTTTAACTGGGTAAATTCGATGAATTATTTTGTATGAAACCTCCTTAATTTTATTTTTTATACAATATTTATTGGGCATCATCCAAATTTTTCTCCAATCAATGCGCTTTCCAAATGCGGAATTCCAATATATTGTAGTCGCAAGTAAATGATCATTTTTTAACAGGGATCTCAAAAATTGGTTATTACATCCACAACTCACAATATCCTTTCCTTGTAGTTTAATATGAGCTGTAAATTCTTCCAATGTTTCTAAAGGACTACTATTACAACTCCTTAAAAGAGTTAATATTTCCCCAGGAATCGCATTAATTACAGCAAAATAGTGATCCAAAGTAATAGAAATATTGTATCTATTAACAAACTCGGTGTAACTATATATTTCATCATCAGCCTTGATTAATTGTTTTATCCAAATTATATCATTCTTGACCCAGTTTAAAAAAAATAAGGTTTTATTTCTAATTTGTATATATTTGTTGTTCCAGATAGTAAATCTATGTGGGGAAAAGTTATGTTTATACATATGTGACCACATCAGAAGTACTTGTTTAAGAAAACTGGCAAGTTTCAAGGGTATTTTTCCAATGTTAAAGTTACATTTTAGTAAAAACTCTAGACCCCTTACTTCTTGAAATATCCTACTGGGGATTATATGCCGTACACTTTGCTTATTTTTTAAATAGTTTTGTATCCATTTAATCTTAAAAATAGCATTAGATGTCCTAAAGAGTGCCGGGAGGTGTGCTGTCCCGCTTGTGTATGTGGTGTATCCAATCACCAGCGCTTGCTCGGGCATGACAGTACCATCATTATTTAAAAGCATAAATTGAGTAACTGAAAACATCAGAAAGAAATCTTGACCTTCTTTGCAGGAGGTGAACGATAATTGTTTTTAATTAAAAATGGTGATATGAGTTAAAAGGTGACAGAGCATTTTACCAGAGTTTTTACCTTAGTTGGCATCGGCTTTTGGAAGGTGACCTCAACCTCAGTCCAGACACTTCTCGAACCTTCAGACACTGTCCAGACTTTCTCCTGGGCGATATTGTTCTCGTCATAGATGTACACAGCCAGGACATTGTCTACTTTCATGAAGCCATGCAACGCATAGAAAAACCTCAGACAGTACTTCAGGTTTCCTGGCAGGAAGGGTCCGTACAGCCGCCCCACGTAGCCGGGTCGTGATGTATATCTGGTGTTGGCCATTAAGAACGATCCTGCAAAACACTGGGAACCTTAGTGTCTTCCTGAATAATATAGGCTTTAAAAGATTCAGATGGCTTTTGATCTTCTTTTCTTTCACACAACCAGTTCATTTAATATTCTCATTTAGGAAGACAATGAGTAGACAGTGAGAATAAAGGTGACTGTATGTTTGGTGTCGCCAAATTTCAAACACGTGAAAAAACCCGCATGCCCTGACTGGCTGTATTGGCCATGATGAATGATGAATGGCCAATACAGGCAGTCAGTGGGTGTAGTCTTGTGCGATCCATATCGTTTGGGGGAAGAGGATTATTATACTGAAAGATTAAGGCATTGTGGCAACATGGACATCTGTTCTAGCAATAGCTGGTACACAAGTCTCAACAAGTAGGTAACATTATCCAGCGAGATCACCTTCAACCATTGCTCATCGAATGTCTACAGCCAATAAAGTGATCTCTCATTTCAGGATTGGGGAAGAAAAATAGTGGAACATTCCTTCTGGCATTTCACAGTTTGTCATAATATTGTGTTCAAACAGGTTAATCTGTTTCCATTGCCTACGTAATATTAATGGGTGAAAATACAAGATGGATTCCTAAGGTTTTCTGGTATTTAGAGTACAGTATATATGTTAAATGTAGATTTGTATGACTGCAGTTGTGTGTCTAGCTGGGTTTGCCATCTTACCTGAGCCTGTTGTATGATCTCCTATCCTGTAGATATTAGGCCGTACTGAAACTCTGTTCCATACAGAGCCTTCCATGTGCTCCTGGTGGTACCGACAAAAACTTTCTTCAAAGTTACAGCTGGCAATCGAAGGATCAAAGAAAGGTTCTGGAAGAAATGACAGCTCTGTTTATAATCCTATGAATGATACAAAAAAAACATTTTTCATGTGCTAGCTTAGACTTTTTTTTTTAGATCGTGTTTTCAAAGATTCACTCTTTTTCGTTAAAGATTAAATGAGCTATGCATTTGTGATCGTCGCGGTTCCGCGCGGGGTCATGCCCCCCGCCACCCGTGCCGTCCTGCACACCTGGGGTGCGAACCTGGGTGTCCAGTGTAACGCAACAGGAACCAACCGCATGAGCTAAAGGAGACCGCCCCCAGCCCAGGCAGCTGAGGTCCCTGCTACGCGCAGTGAGGGCGCTGACGTCACCACACTAGCTCCGCTACCCATTCAGCTATAATTATTGATTAAATTAAAGCACATTGCCTTTCTACCTTGATTTGTATGCTTCTGTGATACAGCTGAATTTACATTGCACATCTAGTGCCTTCAGGGTTTCCAAATGGGAGGGCTAAACTTGCAGAAGGGTAAAATGTCTTCGTTTTCACTTTGTCTCTCAAAACATCTGCACCAGAATTTGTTTTGGTGGTTATTCTGGTTTCTTTAATTAAAAAATAAATAAGTTCTAGATATGTTGGAGATAACGATCGGAGGAACCATGTCCACCACAGGCTGAACCGATTCTGCGTACTGTACAGTACATGCATCACACAGTTGGAAATCAAATCACTCCCACCTGTCTCAGTGCTGCAGAATTCAGGGGAGAAAGAAATGTCATCAAGAGCTACATATCCTCCCCTGGCGCTGTTGAAGGCGACTTCAAAAACAACCTTGAGCAAAGAAACAGGAGACAAATCATCGGACATACTTTAATGACCAGCTGTTCAACCAGAAAAGACACAAAGCAAGAATGCGCATATTGCTAAATAGCATTCACAACCATTTCATGTGAAAAAACGAATGGCAAATATGGTAGTGTCTCTTTCTTCTTTCTGCATTCTCTCATTATGTAGTTTTAGTCTTAAGAATTAAGTTTGATAGATGCTCCCCACTCCAGTCTGGAAAGAAACATATAATTGACTCATGCAATCTTCCCAGTGCGGTTTTCCTCCAAGTCTTGCTTGGGAATTTGAAGTGATTTGGTGCTCTCAAGAGTATTAACATTATAATTGCTTACATTTATATAGTACTTTTCTAGACACACCACTCAAAGCACTTTACAGGTAATGGGGACCACCACTGATGTGCAGCCCCACCTGGATGATGTGACGGCAGCCATAGTACGCCAGAACGCTCACCACACATCAGCTATCAGTGGGGAGGAGAGCAGAGTGATGAAGCCATTTCATAGATGGGGATTATTAGGAGGCCTATTTTATGTGCTAAAAAGTGCTATGTAAGGATAAGGAATTATTATTATTCCTGCTTTACTAAAAGGGGTCAAACTGAATCATTCTTTAAAAAAACAGCTTTTATTGTATACAGTTGTGAGTTTTGAAAACTCCAGTTAGTAATAACAAATAATCAGCACCTTCTTATACCTCTATTTGGTATATGAAGAGTAAACTCCACTTGCTTTCAAGGACTTTTCATCTGTAAAAATCTAAAGGGAAAAACATAGCTGTTCTAGGAATTTGAATTGCATTGTCATTATTCAAACTCCTGCAAGGAAGCCTTCTTAACTTTTTGGCAAGAACGATTAATTAATTATTCCCCACACTGTACATTTCACATCAATTTCCATGAATTGTGCCTCTAAATTTGGCGATAGTTTTTCACTTTACATGTAAAAAAAGTGCTGCGAGAATAATGTGGAAAACCATATATGGATGTGCTAGCTATAAAATGTTATATAAATGTCTGCCAAGATAAAATCCATACAGTATATGATAAACTGCACAAAACATCATACTCCATAAAATGGAAAGTAATAACAGTCCAGTTAAACAAAGATAACTAACCTGGCCTTGGGTTCCATCTAAGGTGAGTTTAAATTTTCAAAATATTTTTTCAAATCATCACTTTAATAGATGTAATATGAGCATTCACCTCCAGTGGCCAGGCCCACCCTTGGTCATCTACATATAAACTCACTAAAGACAAGGAATGTAAACCTTCTCAAACAGTACATTCCTGACTTTGTGTGAAATCAAATATTATACCAACCTCCAATGGATGAGGTGCTTTAATGTCCACTTGTACTAACTTCCAAACTGACTTGGTATAAATATCAGGTCTCCAGATTTCCTCATAATGACCCAGTTTGTCTCTTGTGAACACAGAGAAAATATTGCCTTTCTCTTGATCCAGCTGGTAGTAGAAGGACAAGCAGCCTGACATAGGTGTGGTCATTATGGGTGACATAAGCTGAGCTACTTCTTGGAAGTTCTTGGCATAAACCGAATCCACATACATGTAGTGACCTAGAAACAAGGCAAAATGTTTAAAAAAGAGCACAAACACTTGCATCACAAACTACATATTGGGTAAATAAGAACATAGAAAGGTTGTAAAAGTTTATATATAAATGTAACCCTCCCTGATTTGACAATTAAAGTACTATAACATTGGCTTTAAGTTAATTAAAATAAAAGTGATTAACTAAAACAAACAATAGTATCACAAATGTCAAATGCTGGATTCGTCTGATCTAGTCTGTTGGGAAGCTAATTTATAAAGTTGCACCTAGCAACCTACAGCTCAGTTTCATTCCTCTTTGCTCTTCTTCCATCAAAGATCCCTTTAGTCAGGCTGAATTGTGAAGAAGCAAATGTGAATGTCAAAATCGCAGATATCGAGAGCCTTCTATACTTCACTCCATTGATAATTGGAGTCATATATAATTCTATATAATCACTCCATTGGATTGACTCCATTGACTGTGGAATACTGCATCCACAGCTCTAGTGTCACGATCGCAAACCCCTCCTCTTAAGGGCGCTCCAGCCCTTCCTTGTTTGCTTCATTCCCCACACCTGTTCCTTGTTCCAGCCCCTTTTCAGTTCCCCCTTAAAAGCCAGACACAGACGCTAATCTGGGCTCTGCAATGGTTCTCGTATTGTGTCCGGTCTCCGCCTGGCTCCGCCTGGCTCTGTCATGGTTTTAAGTTTCTGTTCCTGTTCCCGTTCCCCCTGCCGGTCCCAATCCGGTTCTGGTTTTTAATCTTTTGTCTTGGATGGATCATCTGGTCATGGACTTATGCCCTGTTTTTGGACTTCTCTTTGGACTCGTCCCCGGATTGTTCGCCTCACTACACCTTCCCCGACCACCAGCACTCCTTGGACACGCCCCCCTGTTTTTATTCCCGTATCCTGCATGCTTTTCTCCCCAGTGTCTCCGCACTCCACCCCGGATTGTGTTGTCTTCATAGGGCCCGGAAAGAAAGCTTTTGTGACATCTAGCTCATACCTCTTTGGTTGCTCATTGTGTGGTCGTCAGGCAGATTGGACTCGGAATCCCTTGCAACACTCCCACCTACGTACCAATTCACATTGGGGTTCCAGATATTTATATAGCCACAGAGATGGTGTTCTTCAAAGTTACACTCTGTCAACAGTTTAAAAAACATTGTAATTTTTTGAAGAAGTCAGAAACTACCGGTTCCACAAACAATATATTGATTAATTTCAGTTTGCAGTTTTGAGTGGCCCAAAAGGAAAAGGTGATTTCCCAAGTGCAGGTTGTTGGAGCCTCAGTCATGTCTTTAGTCAGTTGCAGCCGCTATTCTCCAAACTGAAGCACACAATTAGTTGAGCTCCACAGCCTGCCAAGGTTAAAGGGGAACTACAGTCCCAATTTCTCAGACTGGTTATTAAATCTCAGTAACCAAATAAATTAATTGCTGGTGTAAAAAAGTGTAAAATTAGTAGTGTGTGGTCACCATGTTGTCACAAATCGCTGATCTCGCCATGGGCGAGAGAGAGAGATTGCACAAATTGTGACATGAAATAGCCCTTCCTGCTCACTAGTTTCTGTAAGCAATTGAGAAATGTGGTCTCCTAACAATGTTAATTATTATGAGTGCATTATAGTTGGTTGGCAGGTTTCTCCTTTTTCCAATACGTAAAAGTATCTAAAAAATATGCTCTCTTATATGTCGGTTTCATGAAAATATTTACCATTAATGTAGTAGGAAAATTTCACTTGGTCATAATTGGATGTTTTTTTGCAGTATGACAGAAATTTGGCGGTATGCATACATTGAAACTAAGTCTCTTTTGTGATGTAAATTGGATGTTGTACACGTTACTGTATATTTGGTAGTTTCATTGTGGTTTGAAATGCACCCATCACTGCTAACTCATTATAATCCCGAAATGTAAAAATAGCATTGCAGTTAATCTTTAAAGAGGGATTAAATGGCCAGGGCTCTCTCGGCACAGCAACCCTTGCTCAACCTCACATTCACAAATTGAAGGTTTAAGTGAGGGACACTTCATTGGGCTTTGAACCTTTGGTATGTAGCTGTATATGCCGTGACATCTGTTTACACTCCCTCATGCTCCCCTGTGTGTGGTCGCAGTGCTCAGAGCTGTGAGCTGACACATGAAAAGTATACAATTGACTGTTCTAAACTGGGTGGAAATACCAAAAAAAATATTGATTCTAACTTTATGAACCAGATCTAAATCAACACTACAGACAATGCTGTTGACCAAAAAAGGTTTTTTCCCAATAATTGACTACATTAGTAATTGATGAGGAGGAGGAACAGGAGAGATGGAGGTATTGCTCTGCCCTCAGTACGTGTGTTCTTGTATGCTGTGCGCAGTGATTAGCTAAGGAATGAAACTGAAGGGAGATGAATCCAAGGTTCTGGCAGGGCGGTGTGTTCTTTTAAGACAAACACAGTTTTCTTTCAGATTTCTTCACTGCCACCACCACTGCCAGAATAATTAAATCATTCAGTTACTGTATATTAGGCAGCATAGTCTGTTCCCAGCTTGTCACCTCCCACTAGAAACTCTCTGGTTCTTTCCCATCTGGGCTTGGCAACCATCCGGGACTGTCCTTGCTCCCCCAGAATTACTGAATAAACTCCATGGCAGTGATGGGTGTATCCGGGGTGAAAAGCTGTGAAATGCAAACCCCCCACCACCTTCCGTGTGTATTTATTTTAGAGGTGGGTGCTTACAGAACAAACTGACTTAACCAGTCTGCCCACTAGGCATTTAACTAGCACAGAAAAGAAAACATCCTTTTCTAAAAAGGCCTCTTTTTTATTTTGGAAAGAACAGTTTTGCAGGAATTTCAAAAGCTGTGCAAATACATCATGTTTTCAGGCCTACGTCAGAATTCTCTGGCAAGAAACAGGCTTCCCAGCTTGGTAATACTGAATTCAATACATTTAATTAGTTCTTTCAGCAATTCTTTCAATACATGAGTTATTTTAGCAATGATGCACCAAGCATCTGCAGAGATGTTACTTACCAATACAGTATCCAGGCACAATGTGTATTTCAAAGATGGCAACACTGTTGCCTGTCTCTTTCCCAGGTCTGCCTTCAATTAAAATCTAAGAACAGAATACATTTAAGAGGAAAAATTACATCATTGTAAATGTAAGAAATTAGCTCTTCAGACACACCAGGGTTAGTGCCAAAATGTGCAAATTCAAGAACTGTTGCTACTTTTCTAATATTGAAATTAGTAATTACATTGCTACTTTAAACAAATGTGTCTTTGAATCCTTCCAGCCATTATGTTTAAGGGATACATATTTATAATTAGAATTGTTATTATTTATCCAAGAATGAATCAGTAAGAAAATTTGGACTAAAACACAGTAACGTTTGGTGTTGCTGTGCAACTAATGGTTTAGAAAGGTAAGCATTGGAGTGGTGAACCAAATGCTAATTTTCTTAGACCAGCAACGTTTTACTTTGTATTCATTCAAGGTTCATGATTGTTAAATTGAAGCGAGAAATCTTATTTTTCTCTTTGTATGCAGTATACTTTATTTGTGCTTCCATTTATCGAAAAAGAGGGATAACAGTGAAAATTGACAAATAAACTGTAGAAACAAAAAGTATAGCTCATAAAGGACAAATAATTCCTTTTCCCTCAGCCATGCTATGTACAATCAAGTAACATCGACCTTATATTTTATTTAAGCAAACACCTCGTTGCAGTAAAATAAAGCATGGGCTGTATGAATGAGAACCTGTTAGCTTCAGCTGTTGGTCAGGCAGGCACCTTTTGTGAGCTCGAGCTGTTCCTGAGGTCCACACTGGCGATGAGCCAGCTGTCAGAGGGCTGGTTTGCTGACCACAGCAGGTAGTCAAAGCTCTCTCCTTCCGGCCTCAGGTGCATCTCCAAGGAGCCCGAGCCAGAGATCTGGTAGACGAGCCTCAGGCAGCTCCACTGAAGCAGTTCCAGGTCAGGGCTTATAAGTACAGCCTTCTCAACTCCTGCTGCAAAGGCCAAGTCCGCAGAGATGAAGCGCCCTGAGAACAGGAGTGCAGGTTAACAACAGAACATCAACCTGCTTAGCTCCATCTTCAGCAAGCTTCTTTTCTGTCTACATCTTTTCTGGTCGTGGCTGGTGAGTAACCATATACAGTAGCCATGACATGATATTTTCAAAAGAGTTCAAAAATATGAGCCCATATTTTACATAACCTTGGTATTGTTCCCAACACCTTGTTGGATTTGAAAATTGCTCCAAATTTCTATTATGATCTACTGTGCAAGAAAAATGCAGTTTCTAACAATACAATTCTATTCTGAGCAAATTTCAAGAACCGCAAAGTGCAGTAAAAGAGCGTACAGGGAATTTACATAACAGTAATAAGAGTAAAAATAAAGAAACAAAAGAAAAACACAGTAGACTGACCAAGTAAAACCAAGACTAAAACCAAATCATACATGTAAAGCTACAGTGGAAAGCAACGTCTTTTCTAAGAGGAAAATAAAGTATTTTGAAACTAAGAAAGTTAAAATTAAAATTAAAAATATCTTTAATGGATTTGGACAGTGAGCTCCGAGGAGCTCCCTAGTGTAGAGTGTAGAGTCTTTCTTCAGCTGAGCAAAAAGTTCTGAACCAGCAGGTTTCAGATTAAGAGCTGTACTATAGCCATATGGTAGACATTTAAGATACCCTGGAGCTATACCTTTAAGTGCCTTATTTGTGAGCAGAGCAACTTTAAAGACGACTCTAAATTTCACAGGGACGTCACTGCCATGATCAGAGAATGGAGTTTGTGTGTTGATGTGGAGTACTGTTAGTCAGCACACAATCTGCAGATGTCAGGACCTACAGAGACCTATCCTAAAAATTATATTATCAGTATCAAGTCAGGAAGGCATTACAGGAGGCTGTACAGGAGTTTGTAAGTGTTCTTACATTTGTTGTGTGTGAAAACCCAGCATTCAGAGGATGTAGCATTCAGCACAGGCATTCTGTGTAGATCAGTGATGAGTGAGTGCTAGCCCACCTCCCTGCCCTCTATTGGAGGTTTGAGTGCTAAACACAATGAGCCACATTGCACCACAATTCTGTCTGGTGTCAAGAGAAATGGTCACACTTTGTCTCCGCACACAGCACAAGCATGGGTAGAGCAAGAAGCACTAGAACAAAATGGAGTCTTCTTACTTTCTGTAACTGTGGACAAACACCCAAGTGTTTGTTGGGTTTAAATAAAGAATGTGAAATCAAATTGTAAATTATTATGTAGGGTAAACATTTAGTCTGTAACACAAAAAATTCTGAGATACTTCACACGCTTGGTAAAGGAAGACCATTGCAACTGAAAGTAATGCCAATTCATAATTTCTAACTTTTCATGGCCTTGATAATACACCCAGATGTCCTTATGGCAAAAACAATCCAGTCTTTTTTTTATTATTCTTGACACTCAAGAGTTGATTTCACAGAGCAGCATTTCCTGGGATCTGAAACATGTGTACATAGTTCCAGAGTCTGTTTTAATGGTGCATGCATATCATAATGAGAGCATAAAAGTTAAAATCTTGGATTCAAATGGAATTTTACCTCAGTTTGTTAACAGGTTGTATTTAAAAAAAAACAATTCTTACACACAGAGCAGGATAGTATTGGTATAATATAACACAGCTGACTTAACAGACAGCTGCAGGAGACATTATTAAGAAGTAATCCTTTTAGTCAGGATCAGCACTGTGTTTGGGCTTTACACAAATAGAAGAGTCAAAAGAAAGACAAATGTCAGAATCCATGGGTGTCGTCCTCAGAACAGACTGGTACCCTGACAGCTGTAAAGTATCACTGAGTCATGGGCTTTAAAAATCATCAGAAAACTGAAGAAATATCTCAGTGCTTAAAAACTGCCTGTGATCAAGATTATTTCTTGGAGGCTTTCAAATTACGAAGTTTGACAACTTTGAAAATAGACAGTGCAGGGCAAACTGTAGAGCCATAATCTTTAGAAGTGTGCAGTTTTCTATCCCCATTCTACCCTTTGATCTGATGAAGATATTTCATTTTAGTTACAAATTACATTTTTCTTTAACTATCAAATTAATTAGGAAAACGGCTGACTTGTAGGAGCACAAGTTGAGCCCTTGTCCAGTTTCAGGTGTGTCCTCCCTGTCTTGCGTTTTACTTGGTGAGAGGTGTTGCACACATGAGTTGAAAGCCTTTAAGATTATTTCCATTTTGGGGTGAGAGGATTTTGGCAGAAACTGCTTAGTGAGGGAGCCCTAGGTATGGTCCTTAAGAATAGAGACAATGTTGAATAAGCAAGGAACCTAACCTGCACGTTGATCTGCACACCTAAAGAAGTGTCCACAGCCGAAACATTGAGTTTCCTTTCTTCTCTTTCCAGCATGGAATAAACCTTTAACTTGTTCCTGCAGCCTACACATGCTGACGCAGCTACCTACTTGAACTACTTTAACCTGCATGTTTATGCATTGTGGGAGAGAACCAGGAGAAAACGTGCACAAGCAGGGAGAATATGCCAATTCTACACAGACAGACACTGGAGCCCATATTTGAACTCGAGAACTCTTCAGTATGTTATTATTGTTTGGGACAGTAGAGTATTTCAGTTGTTTCAAGGAACAAAATGTAACATCTGCTGCAAGAAGTATAAGCTGCAGGACATCAGATAACTAGGAATGAACCACCTCCTGAAGATGAAAGCTTGGATTACCATATATGAGAAGAATCGTTTTATTTAATCCTGGTAAATCAAATTTAATTTGTTGCTCTTAGGGTGCAGTTTAAGAAGGATTTTGAATTTATCTCTGTGTTTTTCAAAAGTTATATCCTTCGTTATGATACCCAGGTGTTAGAAAATGAACACCAGAATCCTTGAGCCTGTCTGACATGAGAACGGTTGAAAAAAGGTCTGTCTGTGCAAACAGCTCACAATCCTAAAACGTTGGCCACAATTTACGTTACCAGGGAAACTAAACAAAAACACCACTTCAGCCCAAGATAAAGTATATATTTTTTATTTAGGTTATTGCATTTTCGAGGATAACAAAGTAGATTATGTCACATAAACAATGTTGTGTCTTGGACTACATTTTGGCCATGAAAGTGATTGCATAGGTCTCTCGAGTTGCCAGCACTTCATACTCGACTTTGCAGAAGGTATTGTAAACACAGCTGTAGAATTTCCAGCTGAATGCTCACAAGGTGGTTTCCATCGCTGACACCACATTTCACCTTCCAGCCCGGCTACTGTTCCTCAGTCATTTGGCACAAAGCCCAAGAGCATCATTAGATCCTTAGTTTTTATTTTTAGATCGTAATGTAAACTGGCTTTAGCAAAATTCGAAATGTTATTGTTTTTACAATGACGCATCCAAGAGCACATTACAATCCTGCCGAAAGCAGTTTGAATACAGTAAGTAGCAGGGAGAGATGCTGTGTGCAACCATATGTCGGACATACCCTGGGTGTTCACCCCAAAAAACAAGCTCAGTTAGGGTTAATACTCTAAACTGTTCATACAGTAGGCAACAGCATGATTCATTATTGAATGTACAAAAGCTTCTTTCCCCATTGGCCTAGTTCACTAGCCAGAAAATCCTTAGGTTCCTCCTGTACTATTGCCCTCTGCTCAGGACACAAGCTTTACCGTCTTAGCTCCTCAGAAAATTAACTGCTTCTTGCCAGTGTCAGACAATTACATATCCTGCTGTCCCCAACTATCTTACATCAATTTCCTCCTCTAGAGAATGTGGGGTAGTAATAAAAAAGGGCAAACTGAATGTTAGCATATGTAGGAAAAGCTGCAGAATTCAAGCCTAGAGAGGCTCAAGTCAAAATGTTACCATGCACTAGTACTCATGTTCTTATAAGCCAAGACAGAGTAATGACTCATGTACAGTACTACATGGATACTTGACACTCCAGTGGTGAACAAAAAAGAATCAACAACATGGCAAGGAAGGATTGTGTTCCATATCCAATAGCATTTGTGTAGCAATCGTAGTTCAGAAAAGAAAACATTATAAACACTATAGGCTGATAATGGAACGATTTCCAACAGTCAGTCAAGAAAGGGGTACTACTAACTGAGTGAAAAATTTCTAATTGTTAAAAAACTGAACAAAGTAATTATTGACCAATAAGCCTGACTTCACTTACTGGTACAGTCAAATTTGTGGAAAAAATACAGTACTGAGAACAAAACCAGATCATCTCCTATTTGGACAATATGGTAAATTTAGATTTTAAGAAAACTTATCTTGGTGATAAAGTTCTGCATACTGTATGTGATTATTTCTAAACCACCAAGCAATAGTCATTTACATAATGCATGTGTTTGGACGATACTACAGTACTACTACTAATAATAATAATAATGCTACTACTAATAATAAAAACACAGATTCGTACATAAGGCACAGTCACCGAATGTCCGAGTCTCAGTTACAACAAGCGAAAGAGCAGCCTCTCGTGAACAGAGCCTTTTGGGTAAGAGTGTGAACATGGAGGATTTCACAGATGAATGATGGGGTCAGATTATTTAGAGCCCTGAAAAAAATTAACAAGATCTTATCTTGAATACATGAACTTATAGGCAACCAATGAAGAGACTTAAGTGTAGGAGTGGTATGCTCCCAGGGTCTGGTGTGAGTTGCAGCACACACCACTTGTAACTATATTGTAACTTGTTGAGAAGAATGTTAGGGAGCCAGTAGAGTAAAGAGTAAGAGAAATCAATCTTTCATTTTATAAACGCAGGAATCAGGCACTCAGCGTCATATATTGCTAGAAATTGTCTAATGCGGGCAAAGTTTCTAAAGTGATTTGTCTTAATCAAAATTTTCAGTACGGTAGATTTGTAAACGAGGAAGGCATCAACCAATTCTATGAAGCTCTCAAGCTTTCCCAGCTGAAATTTGCTAGCTAAATTTCTGTTTTGTCACTATTTAACTTCAGGGAATTTGATGTCAACCATAGTTTGATGTCATGCAAACAAGAGAAGTGATGGAAGAGGGAAATAAGAGGAGGAAGATATTTCAATGGTAAAATGAGAATCAAATCATCTGCATAAGAGTGAAACTACAGACCATGTTTGCATATAATTTTACAGAGAGGAAGCATATAAATGATAAAATGGCCCAATATTGAACTCAGCAGGCACTCCATGATTTACTGGGGCTATGGGGATTTACAGTATGAAGACCAAGAGAGACAAAATGCTGCCTGCCAGTCAGATAAGAGCAGATCCAGTTAAAGACAGTACCACTGATAGACATGAATGTCTGCAAGCGATTGAATGTTTGCAAAAACAAATGATTTACTGTATCAAAAGCAGCACTAAGATAAAAAAAACAAAAGGATACTTATATCCCAAGAGTCAGAGGCAATAAGTAAATCATTCACAACCCTGCAAGAGCAGTCTCAGTGCTATGATTAGAGTGAAAACCAGACTGAAATGGTTCAAACAAGTCATTAGCTGTCATGTGATCCTGTAATTGACGTGCAACCACATGTCCTAAAACCTTAGACAGAAATGGTAAATTAGAAATTGGTCTGTAGTTCATCATTATATCAGAAACCAAGCTAGGCAGTAGCGACCACACCCGGGGAAAAGGACCTGTTGATGATGTTGACAAATAACAGGCAGATGTCTGGCAGGCAAGAGGGATTGGATCTAGGCGACAAGAAGTTGTTTTACAGGTGTAAAAAATGTAAAACATTTGTTTTACAAATTTACATACATTTTGTAAGTTGATCTGAATTACCTAAGCACAATTCAGAAAAATCTGGAATAGAGGGAATGTCAGTGAAAAAGCTAGGGCTCAAACTGTTGTCCAACTTCAAGACTGAGGCTTGATTCAGATGATTGCAGATTTATAGGATCAATCTTTGACTGAAAGAATTGCAAAAACTTAAGACAGTGGTCAGGGGTGGAAGACAGAGCAGAATTATCAGGGGGTTTAATGTACTTTTTAATAACAGAGAAGAGCACTTTATGATTTACTCGTCCACAGCCGATTGAATCCAGGTCATAGGAGAATCTTGAAGAAGCTAGAGCAGTTTTAGACTTCCAGGTATTCATTGTACAGTAAGCCTTAGTGTAAACCACTAGTCCAGGTTTTTTGTTTAAGTGCTCCAGGCACTGTCCAGTTCGTTTCAAATTGCAAAGTTCAGGTGTGTACAATGAGAAGAGTGCTTGAAGGAAACAGCGAGTGCTAAAAGGGGGCAAGTTTGTACAAAGTAATAGTCAATGCAGTGTTTAATTTACTGACGAGGTCAGCTGTCAAAGATGACCAGTCTTCTAAAAGGGGAGAACTACAGTAACTACAGTAAGAAAGCAGAGTGTTCACAAATTTCAGATTTCTAAAACAGATTGTGTGGTAATGTAAGGGGTAAAGGCTCAAATTAGCGGAATTAGTTGAGTACCAATGGGCCTGCATTAGAAATATTAATATTCCTAATTTATTTCAATGATCTTTATTACTGTTTTCTGGTATAGTTGGTTAAATGTTAAGGTTTTCAGATAATAACAAAATATGAGGATGAATAAAGAAAATGTAAAAGAATTAAGACAACATCTAAAACTGGATATGTAACTGACAATCATTTATTGTATAACAGTGTAGGGTAGAAAAAACATAAGGAATTGTGAAGTGTTACGTACAGGGTAGAAAAAACATAAAGTACAAATACAATAAGAAACACTGAGCCTGAAGAAGCCACCTATGAGAAACACTGAATGTTATGTTGAAACATTTTCCAGACAATTTGAGAAAGCATTCGAATGTTTAAGGAACGTTAAGATGTATACTGAAAAGTACTTGATTTAACATAAAAATCACATCATTTGATGTTAAAAATAAAAGATGCACTAGTAAAATCACATTTGGAATATTGTGTACAATTGACAGCTGATGATTACAGTATGTTAGAAAAAAGATGTTGCTGCTCTGGAATCACTCCAGAGAAGAGCAACCAGATACATTCCTGGGCTCAGGAATGTGCTCCACTGACAGGCGAAAAGAACTTAATCTTGAACAGGGGAGACGACCATGAAACCCGATTCATATTCTCAAACACATTGACTCAAATGCCTGTGTAGAAAAGGAGATGAAAGACACGCCACAGAATACAAGTAGAAACTATGTGCAAGTTCATTCAAAATTGAAAACAGAAGGCATTTTCTACACTAACACTTGCAGGGGTATGGATCAAGGTAGCTAGATACAGTATGTTTTTGAACCTGATACCCTGGATCTTTCAAAAGAACAGGTGGGTGAGACCCTTCGACCAATTAGCTACTAGCAACCAAACAGATTAGACAGGCCTTCTGTCATTTGTAACTCTTCTTATGTTATTGATTATTACACAGCAGTTTTTGTTTTTGTATCCAAACACACGACAGCGTATCCAGCCCATATTCAATCTCATACATCAGTCAGCACTGTCGGGGTATGTACTTGCCAAAACTGTGTTTTGAAGTCTTGGACATGTAATTTAATCATCTTTACAAAGTTTTTGGAGTTCTGAACCACTGGATTGCACACAGTTGACATTGGAAACTAGCTCTGCACTGTGTATCAGTGTGAAGTAGGACATGTTTATGTTGCTCCTCATGAGAGATTGTCACTGCCTGGGAGAGGGCAGGTTCTGCTTTCTTTAAAAGATTTTAGTGTTCAATAATCCTGACAGCTGTGTGAGCTGCATCCCTGCTGAAGCCCACTAGTTTCATGGGTGTCAGCTGAATGATCAGCAGAAACTTCATTGCATTATTGTCATATTGTCACCACTAGATGGCTTTGATGATTTTCAAGTACAGTATAGTTTTGTCACTTTTAGCTCATTTGGAATGTCTGCATCAATTTATCCTTGGTAGCATTCAGCTTTTTGAAGACTGTACATAGGACAACTAAAAAACCTCCTTTCCTCACAAAACAGAGTAATAGAGTAAAATGGGACTTCAGAACATAAGCCTATAGTGTATCCTCTAAGAAAAGTGGATTACATTTTGTCAGGCAAAACTACAGTATAATAACTATAATATATAGATTCAACCCTATGCTCATGCTTATGTAAACTAGCTATGGCTGGCGGGATACTGTACTGTAAATAATTCTGTTTGACAAAAGAACCCTTTGTTTTCAAGCATCTCGGACGACAAGAATGGCATAATATATGCCTCTTTAAAATCTGAATGCCACAGTTACAAGACAAAAGAAGCTGTTCATCAACCACTCATCCACGGGGACTGCCAGAAACTTCAGTGAATGGAGAAGAACTGTATGTGAGTGCTAGTGTTTTTTTTTATTTTTGCCCACAAAACATTGAATTGCAAACAAGGGATATCAAAATCATGTCTGCTTTATACTGTATAAAGAGGAGACCAGCCCACACTTGGTGTACAAGGTGTACAAAAACAGAGTGAGCAGCACTCTTCTGCTTGATAAGCATGATCTATCCTCGTAACTAACCCAGCATTAACAGAACAGGCAGAAAGGAGTGCAGATTACTACAGTTGCTAATTATATAAATGGCAGTTTTGTTCTTCTCTGACTCTAAAAAGATAAATTCCTGAAATGCCACTATCAAACTATAGTTAATAATGTACTGTACTGTATACTATATGTTAAAAAAAACTCTTAAAGCTTGTAAAATATATCCATAAAAACGTGTTTAGAAACTGATGCCTTAAAGGTCTCAAGGTAGTTCGAAAGATGGATGATAGGGGAGTTTTGGATTTCTTGCTTCTTCATGAAATCGAATCAACGTGGGTTGTCTGTTATACATCACACATGGTTTATGTGCTAAGTGATGTACTATTGTTTATTCTGACAGAATCTCCATTCCTTAAGGATTGTCTTCTAGAATATCCTCTCAAGGCTGGCTGTAAGGCCACATGGAAGAGAAGCTCATCCCTCAGTGCCCTTTTGTCAGAGCACCTGAGGGCAAACACTAACTGTACACATAGCCTCCTTGTCCCGTCTCTTCCAGTCTCAAGGAGCCTACATACTGCAGAACACATTGGTGCTTGAATGTGAATTTTAAAATATAGTAATTCTGAAGTTGTTCTTTCCCTTAACCTCAAACAGTGCAAACCTAACTGTTAACTTGTGATTCCCTGGATTTTCCATATTTTCAACTTTCAAAATTCAAAAACAAAATCAATTCAAAATACTCTAACGCGATTCTCTAACAGTGCACCACAGGTTTTTATTAGGAAGCTCTGTACAAGAAATCAAAAGCCCAACAAGAAGGCTGAACAGAAAAGTGTGGACAGAAATGTATAAAATGTGCCTTTTTTAAAGTTAGGAAGGTAAAGAGTTAAGCAGAACAGTGAACGTTTTTAAAAGAAAATTTAAATAAAACCACTGAAGACCACTTCTATCGCTGCAGATCTTTCTTTCTTTTTTTTTTCATTTTGGTTTTCGGTTCCTAAGAGACATAACTAGTTTGAATGGTTGGGAAGCTATTACAGGAATCAGTGAGACTGGCTCTATTTATAAAACATATAATTACACTTAGAAAGTCAGTACATCCCTACCTTCTTCATTAAGAACCCATTTCAAGTTTGCAGGGTCTGATTTATAACCACAAGTGCTGTGCTCAAAAGTGCAGGATCCTGGTAGCTGTTGCTGTGCATGGACTGACAGCAAAACTGGAAAAAAGTTAGACAGAAATAGATCAGCGTTAGCAGGACAAAGTAGAAACACATGTATTAAATGATTTCCAGAGATACTGTTTCTGATTTTCTTTTTCTATTTTAACAGACAAGATATCTGATTAGCAAAAAAAAAGTGCAAATCTCTCTCTTCAGCTGTACATATGCTTTATGCCGGTTTTAAAATCAACAAGAAACATTACATGAGATAAAAAAGCAGATGAAAGCTGATGAGATAAAAGAGAGAAATGTTTCCACACACACAGAAAGGAACTGCAGCTGCTCTCCTGCCACAAAATACAATTCTGACAGAAAGAAAACTTAGGCGAAGACCTACCTTGTAGAGTCAAGAAATAATATGGAAACATTGCTCAGCTGGTTTTCAAAAGCAGGAGCAAAAGCAGTTATTGTTCTCTGTTTTTGAAGAAATCAAAGCAGAAAAAAACACAGCATGCATGTGCAGGACACATCCGAAATAATCTTGAGGAGCAACTGAGAGCCTTGTCCGGAGTGTTGAGAGAAAATCAAATTTTCCCCCAGTTATCACATTAGCATGGTTTAATCTCAGCTGTGAGAGTGCATTTGGCATGCTGCAGAGCACTGAGAGGGAGGGAGGGTTTTGCAATACATACCAAACTCTGAAGGATACACCTCTGTAGAGAGTGCCTATTCATGATGGTATTTTTCTTTCCGACAGAAAAATCTGTCAAACCAATGTTTGCATAAATTCATAAAATATATTGCCTCCGCTGACCGTGACCCATATTTCATTCTTTTTGTCTTCTGTTGCCCACATTAATGCGGTTCTAATCCATTCTATTGAATGTTGAAGTTTTTTACACACTATAATTACCACATATAGTGGGGCATATACTGTAGCTGATCTTGTAGGAGCAAGCATCACTGACAAGATAATACTTATGCTGATGAACTTTGCTGAAATTGCAAACAAGAAAAAAACAATTTTGTCGGTTAAACAATTGACTAGTCATCGAGCTTCCAGTTGAATGAATAGAGCTAAGAAAGAGGTTATTAATACTTACACATGCATCCCCATAGATACAGTATGTGATCGAATCTGTGTATGGTAAATTTTGACACAATATAATTAATTACTTAGTTTGTGAATATTAAGATAAATAAATACAGAATATCATTGTTTCAAAGGAATATGACCATTGTTGAAATATATAGTATATTGTTGAATATGAAAATTGTTTTTTGAATATGACCAAATTCTGCATATGTGTGAGCTTTTTATATTTCTTTAATTAAAAAGAGCTTTATAGCCGGTGTGTATAATTATGTAAAATCTTCAGCAACTCATTAAGCAAAGTGTTGTGTCCTGGAGTCACGCTTCAGTATATACATTCAACACAGGGCTTCACTCTGAAATATCTTTTTCGAAAAAAAAACACACCTCACCAGGAGGAACTCGCTGTGTTTGTTTTGTTTTTTGTGTTTGTATCAGATGATGGGAATCTTTTATTTAAGGCTTCTGTTTGCACAGACAGGATATCAACATTGCTCTTTCTCTCACACACTGGAAAACATAATTATTCAAACTTTGTCTTGGTTTTTCGTGTCAGCTTTTCCATGGCAAAAACAGTTCAATTATGCATCGATCTAACAACCAGACAACGTGTACAAATAACTCACTACAGCTGCCACTACTGCTAATAATAATGGGAAGATAATGTTTTCACAACGTATGCCACATTCAGGCTGGTCGCTTGAAATAGAAAACAGTTGTTGCAGAAATTGCCTGGACAACCCCTGGGATTTTCCCAGGAAAAAGTGATGGATGACGTTGGACTCAATTTATCTTTTTATTGTTTCATTCCAAATTACTTGTCATGCTTTTTTTAGATAATGTAAGGGGTGGAGCATATTTTTTAAGTGCTGTGTACAGAGCTAGGGATGGTAGAACGCTGTTAATGATGACGATGCCACTCTGAAACTGTGGCACTTGTGGCAGAAATGAGAGAGGGAATGAGGTAATGGAACAGAGGGTTAAGATTTTATAGGGTGGAGAAAAAAGCTTGAGCAAAACATACTATGGGCTAAAGTGAAGCTCATATCATTGAGAGCACAGTAACTACAGAGTTTTCACGCACTTTTCTTTACAGCAATCTGTTTTCTTCACACGTCATGACACCAGAGCCATTCAGGGAATTAGAAAGGTCCAGGCCACTGCAAATTAAGATGCTCCAATTCAGATGCATGCACATCATACTTCTGGATGGTGTTAAAATAATGATTTAATTTGCTAATCCAAGGGCTGTAGACTGAAAGTCTAAGAAGTCTTTGCTGCAAAATTGTTTATTTTGTAAATGCTTTCCTGGTCAGAGTGTGTGCAAACTTATTTTGTAGGTAAAGAAAAATCCTGTTCATGTTATGTCGGTGTTGATGTTAAATATGGCCAGCACATTCGGAAAATCCTGCCCCATTGCAGATAGGTCTGCATATATAACTATAACTAATCTCATCAGATCTCTCAACTCCCAACTCTACCAGTTCCTCACTTCAGAGAAGGATAAAAACCTCATTCATCTTTGACAGAAAAAGACCATCAACACCCCTACTACCTCAACCAATCGTAACCCTGTGGTTACTATACCCTCTGACCTTTACCTTTCACAGGATGAGCGATCTCTTCTCAGCAGAGGCCCCGGTTTTGCTCCAGTCCCCAAGAAGCTGAACATCCCGTAAACTCAAGTCAATCTCAATCATTTTTACCATAGGATTCAGCTCAAAGCTCATTTTGCTGACAACTCCTCCTCATCGGTAGCGGACAACAACCTGGTTACTGATGCCAATATCAATGATTAACTGATTAACAATATCAGTCCTAAACAGAGCTCTTGGACTCCCCCTTCCGGTTGTTTTCCAACAGTTGATTACTTTATCAACCAAATGCAACATTCAAGTTCCCAAGACCTTTGCCACACCCAGGAAACATAGGTCTAACCTCACACAAGGAGAACTTCAGGCACTCCAATCTCTCCGCAACAGGGATGATATTGTCATCAAGCCAGAGAACAAAAGAGGAGCTGTTGTGGTGTGGCACAAAGACCTTTACTGATAGCCTCCAGACAATTAACTGATACTTCTGCCTACCGTCCTCTCCAACAGGATCCTACCACTGACTACCAGAACTACCCAATCTTTGTAAACTTTTGGTTCACAACTCCCTTGACTACACTCAGGAATCATCCTCACCAACCTCCTGCAACAGAACTCGCTGCATCACCTGCAAATACATATCTAACAACAGGCTCATTCAGGGCCCCTCAGGTCAATTCTGGATGAACCAGATGACATCCTGTACCTCCAGCAACCTCATTTACTGTATCTCTTGCAGAAAATGCCCAGCTACCTACAGTAAGTTGGGGAAACCGGAAGGAGACTAGAAGACCGCTTCAGAGAACACGTTAGGCCTGTTTCACCTCAGACAGCCATGATCACACTGATCTCTCTGTCTCTGTTCTCAAATAAGGGTTTCTCAAATCCCATAGCAGAAAGACTACAGAAATGAAACTCATCCTGAAACTAGGTTCACACTGTCCCCCTTCTCTCAATTACTGATTTATATTTGTGTAAACCTCTATTCTCATGCCGGTTTTGACTTCACACCTTTCTCCATCCCTCTCCACTTTGCACTTCCTGAGTGGCCTCTCTGCCTCTCCTGCCTCCTCCCCTCTCCCAGCTTTTGTTCTCCTGTGCTATTCAATCTTTGCTGTTTGCCCTGTCTTTTTCACACCTGAAGAAGGCTTCACAACCGAAACGTTGTGTTTTCTCTCTTCTCTTTTCAGCATTGGAATAACCCTATTACTTGTTCCCAAACAGTGATAGTTCTTTATTTGTTTTAATATGCTGAAAATGCATTATTTAAAGCCACTGACACAGCCAGAAGCAGACTGACAAAAATATGTAAGCAACTGCAATGTTAGGAATTACAACAGAAAGTCCAAGTTTTGGATTTAAGGTATGTGTAATATATCCCCTTGAGAAAATCCAACTAATCAGCTATGGCCACTGAGATTTTGTTATTATAATTTTCCTGAAACTGTGTAGCCGCTAATCACAGATCTTCATTGCTTATTTCTCTGTATTACTAAAGGAATCCAAAAGAGTAACAATTCTATCTAGAGTGGTTTTCAACATCCGACTGAGCTGAGAAGAATAGCAGACTAGCAGAAAGCGACTAGCAGAAAACTAATATGAAATGCAAATACTTTGTTTTTGATTCAAGAAGAGTTGTATTCCATTGATAACAAATCTGATGAATATGGTTAAGAATGTATTTCTGCATCAAGTATATTATGTTTCTGAATCAGAAGTTTAGGTTCATGAATCATCTTAAGCAGGCTCATTCATAAGGATGACAATAAGTAATTCATTACTCTCACGTCTCAGTCTGTTTCGGACCTGCTGTCACGATTCTAATCCCTCCCCCTTAAGGGCGCTCCGGCTCTTTCGCATTTTACCCGATCTCCTGCACCTGCCTCCTGTTCCAGTCTCCCCCTTAAAAGCCAGACGCTCCCACTATTCCATGCTCAGTATTGGAAGATGGACGCCACAAGGCTTGCCTGTTTTCCGGGTTGTCCGAAGGCAAGCCTTTTCCCCGGCGTCCTGACCATCTGTGTCTGGGGCTGGGAGCTCCTGGCCCTGTTACCCTTTTTATTCCCCCGACCCCTCGCCGGATCCCGTTCCGGCCTTTAACTTCGTTTGTCTTTGTCTTGGATTGATCACCCGGCTTTGGACATTTGCCTCCCCCCGGATTTCCCTACGAACACCCTTCGGACTTGTTTGCCTGGGCCACCCCCCCCCCCCCCATGCACCGAGCACCTTCGTCACCCTGTTCATCTACCAGCCCAGTTCCTCCTTTCCTCCCCATGTCTGTTCACTCCCTTTCGGATTGTGCTGTCTGCGTAGGGTCCTGAAAGACGCTTATTAACACTTGCCATGCATTATCGATGACTGAACAGTCTAGGTCTTCAACATTATCCCCTACATTTTCTTGTAAGTACCCACCTCACTTAAGAAAAAGACTTTTTAATTTCAGGAAGCAAAATTAGTAATGAAACGTACAAATTTAATTTCCAGAACTATAAAGCTGCTATTTATTATTAACCAAATGTTTATCAAAGCCTCAGGGTCTCAGGTTGTCAGGAACATAAATCTTATCTCACTCTATAAACTCCAACTTTATACAACTCATTTATAGTTACATAAACCTTGTGTCGGGAACCATCAGGAGAACCAGATGTATTCTTTGGGGAACAAAGTAAGGTTACGCTGAATATCTTTTTATTTCTCTATTCCTTTATTTTACCAGGCAAACCAATTGAGAATTATTTCTTCTTGTTTGTGTACACTGCTGACCTGGTGCAGTACACTTACTGTACTGGAACAATGTGAGTTCAATCCCAGTGTCCCACCTAGGATTTCAACCCACTATCCTCCAGTTTGGAACTCCAACCACTGCTCTGCCCTCCTACCCTAGTTTTGTTTTAGATCTCTAGGATGTTTTGCTATTCTATTCTTCAGCCTCTGTCCCTACTGTAATCCTATCGCAGTCTCTCGGGATCCTTCCAGATCCAAGCCACTCAGTGCCTCCTGAGACAGTGGTGAACTCCTGTAGGTCAA